CCACGGGATGCTGGTGAACCGTGAGGCTGTGGAACACTCCAGTAAGATGGAGCTGACTCCTTGCCTCTCCTTAAATCACTACTGCTTCTCTGGGGAGCAATTCTTTACCCATTCACTTGTTTACTCACTCTACAAGCATCTATCAAGCACCTACTAGAAGCTGCCTCAGTGATGGTTCTCAAGATTCCAATTGAGGAAAGTACAGCCTAGCACCTCTCTTTAAAAACCTCACAAAAAGGATGAAGAGATGACTCAGCAGTTACTTCTCTTGCAGAAGACCTGAGTTCAGTTCCCAACCCCCCTACTGGTGGCTCATAACCATCTGTAACTCTAGCTCCAGGGTGAGCCAACATATCTGGTTTCTGAAGGTACCTGGACTCACATGTACATAACCAAACACAAAGACACACAAGTACACATAATTTAAAATAGTAAAAATAAAAAAAAATCAAGCTCACAAGATAAGTCAGGCATTTTGGCACATGCCTTTCATCCCAGCACTCAGGAGGTAGAGGCAGGGAGATCAGGAGTTCAAGGCCAGCCTCAGATATATAGTGACTTAGAGGCCAGCCTGGGTTACGTGAGACTCTGTCTCAAAAAAAGAAGAAAAAAAACCTAAAAGAAAACAAAATGAAGGCTTGCATGATGGGGTTGGGGAAATAGCTTTGTCGGTGGAAGTCGTACAGGCCCAAGGGCCAAGTTCAATTCCCCACACCCATGTAAAAAGCCAGGCTCAGTAGCTCTACTTGTAATACCAGTGCAAAGGTAGAAATAGGAGGATCCTTGGACTTGCTAGCCAGCCAGTATAGCTGAACTGGTGAGCTCCAGGTTCACTGAGAGTCCTAGAAAGGTAGAGAATGATTAAGGAAGATAGCTGATGTCATATATATATATATATATATATATATATATATATATATACACACACACACACACACACACACACACACACACACACACACACACATACACACACACGTAGGAGCAGGTACACACACATCATGTACAAACACACACATACAAACACACACCCCTCCCCTCAAAGATAAAAGCTGTCCAGAGCTAGATATGTATATGTTAGCGGCTCTTCTTTTGCTTTGATAAAGGATCACGACCAAGGCAGAAGAGTTTATCTGGGCTTGTGGTTCCAGAGGGCTGAGATGGTAGGGCTGAAGGCATGGTGGTTGGGGCTGCAACTGAGAGCTCACATCTTGAATCAGGAAGCAGGAAGCCGAGAGCTCACACCGGGAATGGCGTGACCTATTTCCTCTAGCAAGGCCACACCTCCTAAACTGCCTAAACAGAGCCACCAATTAGGAGCCAAGTATTCAAATAACTGAGCCTCTGGGGGACACTCTCATTCAAACCACCAACTTAGTGGTGCACACCTGTAATCCCATCACTCAGGAGGCTGGGGCAGGGGCATCATGAATTTGAGGCCAGTCTGGACTACATAGATGGAGTGATACACCAGCAGAGCACTAACCACCCTAGGGACTGTGCTGGAAAGAAGCAGGGGTGGGATCCAGCCTTGATCTACCCTGTACTGTCTGGCTCCAGAGACCTGTACTTGGCCCCCAGAGGGACTGTGTGTGTGGACTCCCTTGCTGGTTTATAGAGGCCAGGTAATCAACACTGGGCCAGCTCCTCCAGATAGGCTGCATGCAGGAGTCCTGGAGACAAGTTTGTGGAGTCCCACTGAGGCACAGTCTGCTCCATAGGGTTCACAGTAGCAGATGACTATGGATCCAACAGGATGTGGAGTTCAACACAGATGGAGGTGCAGGCTGGGGTAATGTCCCACACTTCTTCCTATGAGTGCCCCCTACAGCCCAGACTCCTCCCAGTCACAGTATCCACACTGGCTCTAGGCAGATGAGACCTGAATAATTCACAGCCAGTGCATGGCCCAGCCCCAAGGTGGTTTTCTGGTAGCCAAATCAGAGGCCAGGGCAGCTGGACCTGGGAGGGGCTGTCGTGGGTTTGAAAGCCATGAACATCCAGGAAGGGAAAAGTAAACAAGACCCCATGAATTATTCATCAGGACAGCTGCTGATGCAGCCTGGGGGTGAGGATGGTGTGACAATGTGACAAGCCTGATGTCATCATTCAAACCTGGTGTTTCCAATGTGGCCAAGGGGAGAGTGGCAAGGGCCAGAGGGTAGGTCTGCTGGAGTGCACACCCCGGATCACATGTTACCCAGAGAAAGCTGAGCTGGGTTCACAAACATCAAAGTGGTGTGCATCAAGAATACCACCTAGCCTCACCAAGCCTCGGGGCTCTCACCCAGAAAAAAAGACCAGCACTGGGTCCACTAAAGCCCTGATGCTCCAGATGGCTGAGATAATAACTATGTCTCTTCAACCTAAATACCCAAATCCCACAGTTCTTGAGCACAGTCCTGGACAACCTAAATACCCAAATCCCACAGTTCTTGAGCACAGTACCTGGACAGGTAAAGGGCAGAGTCACCTTTGTCCTTGGGTCGTCTAGCTCTCTGGGCATCCACAGTCTCCTCTGTCTCTTCCTGCTGTCTCTCCTTACTATTATAATTCACAGATCTCCCAAGAGAGGAAACACTGGGAGCCCTTCTATGTCTATCATGGAGGAAACCAAACTAGTCGCAGGTCCTCCATTGTGCTGTGGCCCCTACTATGTGCCCAGGTCAAGCAATAGGCACAAGCAGCCAGTAGAGACTTAGACTCTCCACTGATTGCTGTGTGATGCTGGAGCAGCCCCTTTCTGTCTCTGAGCCTTGAGGAGCTAGACACAAAGGTCTGGTGGGTTCCCCTGAACTCCGTGACAAAAACGGCAGGGTGGGAGAGAGAGGCTGGATGACTGCCCCCTGTAGGCGGGGCTCCTGGGGTTGGAGGTGTGAGGGCTGGGATTTTCCAGAATCAAGAGTAGGGGGTCAGGCCTTCATCCTTAAGGTTCCAGCCCTTGAGTTTTTCTTTAAGAGGGAGCATGCTCTAACAAAGGTGAAAAGGCAGCCACCAATGGTGTAAGTTCCCCAGCTCCACTCTACCATGGGGATGCTGGGAGCCTCCCAAGGCAGGATGGTTAGCATGGTTATGACTCCCAGTGTAAGCATGCAGCAGCCACAGGGGCTCAGAGAAGCTGAGTGCCTGGTCCCAGGCCACAGAGCCAAGAACAAACAGAGCTCAAGCCAGAATCCTATTCCAGACCTGTCTTCTCCATCATCCATCTTGTTCCACCTTGTCACCAACCAGTACTGGGCCAGAGTCCTCCAGCCTGCTCTCAGCACAGTTCACAGAGGCAGGAAGGCTCCACAGGGACTCTCTTCATAGAACATGTTCTCAGCCCCGCCTCTATCTGTGTGACCATGATGGACCTGCCCCCTGAGAGCCACCATTCAGCTCACAGTCATTCAGAACAGATCAAGGTAGGAAGGAGAAGACTGGGCAAGAAGAAGAGTCTAGAAATGGGGACATGAGAGGGGAAAAAAAAAAGTCCATTCTGAGCAGAAGCCCAGAGCAGCTGCCTAAGTGCTCTGTAATGAATAAGTGATGGCAGCCACCACCAATGCTTCCACGGGGCTGCCCAGCTAGGGCAGAAGGGGCACTAAGTGAAGAGGTTTACCACAGACCCAGCATCTTCTGGTCTCTCATACACAGTACTTCATACATTTTTAATGGACCTTGGGGTGGCAGGCTGACCTGAAGGGCACAGGGTGTGCCCAGAGCTGGAGCACTGAGGTATTGGGTCCTCAGCAGCGCTGATTCTAGGGGAGGGTCCTGAGAGTAGAGGTCATGGCATGCCTACCTGGGCGTGGTGAGACCGAGACAGAAGCAGCCTGGTCCCTGGGCTCTTGTTTATCCTCTTAGCAGGGCTCTTAGTTCCCAGGGCCTCAGTTTACCTCCTGGAGTTAGGAAAACTGCAATCCTGTTGCTTTTTCAGCTTCAGGGCCTGGCCAGTATGCCTCAGGAACTGAGGAAGTGAGCGAAGTTGCAGGTCCCCATGGACCAGCTGCCTCCTCTGGGGGAGGGCACAGAGCAGAGACCTGAGCTCTTTCCAAAGCACCTGCCACCCATCCCCCAGGCCTCTTCTCAGCATGCAAGTCTCTGCAGACCTGAAAGGAGAGCTCTACCTTCAGAAGCAGGAAAGGATTCCAGGCCCTGGGGACCTAAAACACACTAGACTATGTGTGGCTGGCCAGCTTTGTGACTTTCAGGGTGGCCCTGTACTCCAGTGTTCCTATATTAACTACTTTCCCTGTTGCTGCCACAAAATACCTAATAAAAGCAGCGTAAGGAAGGAGGGGGTGTGTTTGGGCTCACAGGAGGACAGGTCAGTTCACCAGAGGTGGGGAGGTACAGGGACAGAGGCATAGCTAGGTGACACAGTGTCCACCGTCAGGAAGCAGAGAGGTGAATGCTAGCTCTGAGCTTGCCCAACCCCTCCCCTTTCCTCTTTTTATTTGGTCTGGAACTCCAGTCCCTGGGATGCTGCTGCCCACATTCATGGTGAGTCTCCCTTCTCAGTTAGACCTTTTAGGAAACTCCCAAGCGGTGTGCTTACAAGGTCATTCTACATAAGTCAAGTTGTCAGTGGAGAGAAACTAGTAGAGGTTCCAGCTACTTTCAGGAATGAAACATCAGTGGGTTGTTCCCATGGCCATCTTCAAAGTATAAAACCCCAAAACTCCTGACTCCAGACTACCTGAGCCACCAACTTCCATAAGAGACAGGAGGGGACTATTGCTGGGCCCACACCAAGAACAGCAGCAGCCATGGAGAGGAGCCAGCCAGAGCCTAGAAGACAAGCTGTGTGTGTTGCAGAGGGTGGAGCCAGAGAAGTGACCTAGCTCTTTGGAGGAGCCCAGAAGATCGTGAATGGATCCCAGACATTGGACATTTAGTTATTTACACAGTTGGAGTTTGCTTTTGCTTTGATTTGTGACTGTGCCCTGGTTCTTCCCTCTTGAAGTAAGAAAGTATTTAACTTTTTTTTTTTTTTTTAAACAGGAGCCCACAGTTGAGCGACTTTGAACTTTTAAAGAGATTTTGGAATTTTACAAAGACTTTGGATTTAAAAGAGATTGAATTTTTAAAGTCTGTTGGACTTTTAAATTTTTGTAATGTTTATATTCATGTGTGATCTTGGGGATATCACATATGAACAAGAAAGGAAGGGCTGTGACCTAACAGTGGTATGTTTGTGTGTCAAACTGATAAGGGGTCAACTGTGCTGGGTAGTTTTATGTCAACTTGACACAAGTTAGAGCCATCTGAGGGAATCTTAACTGAGAAAATGCCTCATTAAAACTGGCTGTAATACATTTTCTTAAATAGTGATTCATGATGGAGAGCTCAGCACATTGTGGGTGGTACCACCACTGAAATAGTGGTCCTGGGTTCTATAAGAAAGCAGGCTGAGAAAGCCAGTAAGCAGCACCCCTCCATGGCCCCTGCATCAGCTCCTGCCTCCAGGTTCCAGCCCTGCCTGAGTTCCTGTCCTGACTTTCTCCAGTGATGGATTACGAAATGGAAATGTAAGCCAGATAAACCATTTCTTCCCCAACTTGCTTTTGGCCACAGTGTTTCATCATAGCAATAGTAATCTTAACTAGGACAACTACTGTGTCACTTTTTGTGTCCTGGAGCTTAGAGGGAGGATAGCAAGGCTGCCTCATCCAGCATCTGGGTGTCTGCTGATGATACTTAACATTTTTGCAAAACCATTTGCATTTTTCTTCATGTCATGTGCATTGAGCCAGCACCCAGACTCTTGTTAAGGGAATAAGGGCCCAGTCATGAGTTCAAGGCAATCTCTTCTATACATCCCAATTTCTCCCTGCCAGTCACAGCAGAAGCAACTTCTTGGTCTCTTGGTTACATGGAGTCTCCTTGTATCCCCATACCACCTTCACCCATCAGCCCATGAGCTCTTTGAGGGAGGATCTGTATCTAGTTCAAGGTGCCTTGTTCTTAACCCTCAGCCCACTCCAGCATCAACTTGAATGTGTCACACAGAATGCACTAGCACATCTGTGAAAATAAACACAGGGACTAAGGATGCTGCCCGGATGGTACAGTGCTCGCCTAGCATTCATGGGGCCCTGGGTTCAGTTCTCAGCATCCCGTAAACTGGGATGCACTTCTGAATGCAAGAGGATAGGGACTTCATGGTCATTCTCAGCTACATAGGGAATCGGAGGCCAGTCTGGGCTACAACACACACACACACACACACACACACACACACACACACACACGCACACGCACACGCACATGCACACGCACACGCACACACACTCATGCTCACACACACACTACACCACAGCGCGGCACAAAAAAAGTGAGAATCATTAGTCATCACCCTGCCTGTCTCTATTATGTATTCAGATGAGATAAGCCCCAGAGGATCTGCACTGTGAAGCTGGGCCTTTTGGACCAAGGCCTCTGAAGTGCTCACTGTGACTTAAACAGCAAAAGCATTAGCCAGGCACTTTCTATCTTTTAAATCCTTCTCGGAGCCCTACCGAATGGCCATTGTCCCTGTGCCCACTTTACAGATGGGGTAGTTAAAGCTCAAGTTACAGAGCTTGCAAAGTCTACCAGCTGGTGAGTGGCTGGGATTTAAAGGCAGGTGTGACTATTACCTCCAATGCCTTCTATGTGGTTCCTGGTGGTGCTCCATAGCTGGATCACCTCTTTGCTCTACCCAGCTGTCAGCGAGCCTGGAACAATGGGTCCACTTAGCACGGTGTCCTGAGCTAGGCACTGTGATGCAGGAGTCCCGCTGCCTCTCTGAGTTAGCATTAGCATGCTGATAGCTGGCTGATAGGTGAAGTCGGGTGCACAGCTGCTGCAGCTGCTGCCTCCGCAGCTCTTTGGATTAGTTTGAGCTTCCCTGGCCTACTGGAGACGTAAATTCAACAGCCAATGAGGAGCAACACCCTCACTCCATACTTCGCCCCCTTCTGCAGTTCCAGTGAAGTACCTGTGACTTCCAGGTGGATAGTCCAACGCCATTCCAAGGACCCAGGAAAATCTGAGTTCCTGCGAAGGCAAGTATTTGTGTCAGTCATTTGCCCTCTGACTATCATTGCACCACATGGACATCCCCACTGCAGTGGACCCGCTGGGTAAGGGGGCTGGCCCTCCAGCATCCCTAGAGATGCCAACAGGAAGCCCCGAGCAAGGGGATGCAGTGAGCCTGGAGGTGGCTGCTCCCCTCTGCTCTGAGAGCAGCCACAGCAAAGGCTCTCAGTGAGATGGAGGCAATGCCACCTTTCCAAACCTGGTACCCTTAACCTGGGTAAAGTTTAGAGCCAAGTCCCTTCAGGGGAACAGACCACGGGGCTCGTTCTCTGCCACTGGAGCTGGATGGACCCTTTCGGGGATGGCTAGGATTCAGGGCAGAAGAGCAGCAGAGATCTCAGGCTGGCCCAGAGCTTGGTCATACTTTCATGGAATCCTCAAGATGCCAGAGCGGAGCCATCCAGTACTGACTGTGTTCCCAAGAAGTGTCAAGCATCCTGTGAAGAGTTCTTTAACCCTCACAATAACATGAAGCATTGCTGTCAATATCTCTATAAAACCGAGGCACCACAAAGTTAAGCAATTTTTCCAAGGTCTTGCTGTCGTGAATGGCCTAGTGGGGCTTTGAACCCGAGCACTGTGAGTAGGATTCAGGTGTACAGGCTTCACCCTGCCCTGCTGTCCCTTAGTGATGGTGGTGCTAGACTCTCAGCAAGGATTTCTACTCCCAACAGTAAGGAAGCAGGCACAGGTGGACAAGCCTCCCACAGCCAGAGTTGGGATTTGAACCCATGACTAACTAACATGAGCATCTAGGGATGCTCTAAATTAAATCATAGCAAGAGCCGGGCGGTGGTGGCGCACGCCTTTAATCCCAGCACTCGGGAGGCAGAGCCAGGCGGATCTCTGTGAGTTCGAGGCCAGCCTGGACTACCAAGTGAGTTCCAGGAAAGGCGCAAAGCTACACAGAGAAACCCTGTCTCGAAAAACCAAAAAAAAAAAAAAAATCATAGCAAGATTGTGCCTGTGTTCCATACGAGAAAACAGAGGGCTGTGCGTGACTGTCATTTGCCTACAGCCATGTTCTGCAGTTGAGTGGCAGAGCTAGGACAGGAGCCCCAAGATCTTGCCAATCTAAGAAAGATGCAAGTTTAGAGGAAGGACCATGTCATCCTGTTGACAAATCAGGACTGGCTTTCTGAGAAGGACAGCAGCAAAATCGGAGTGCTGAGCTGAGGTTTGGGTGCCAGAAATGGGGCCATTAGCAGTCAAGAGTGGGTAAAGGGCCCAGAGAAAAACAGATGTCGAGTTTGAAGCCTTTGGCCAGCTCCATGATATCAGACAAGTCATTCCAATCATCCTTAGCTTTCTTTTCTGGAGAATGGTAGTTCCAATAGCGCACACCTCACAGGGGTCTAGGGAAGCTAATATAATTCATGCAGAGTGTGTTTGCACACTTGCTATCTTTTGGCCTCAGCTAGAGGCCTAATGGAGTGTCACGTATGGCACATGGATTCATGAAGGTCAGAATTACAGGCTTCATTTTACCTGTGGCTGTGGTGTAATTAAAACTTCATCCTTAGTCTGAGGAAACCTGATAGAAAGCATCAGGGCACTTGGATTGTAGGCCAGGACTTCAAGTATTGAGATATACTTAAAGGTTTGGGAAGGGTGTGTGTAGAGGTGAGGGGTGCCTGCAAATTCTCATTGCTTTCAGCTTCAACCTCATTCAGAGGGTTCCAGGCACCTGCTCCTCCACCCTCCTCTTCTACCTGACACTCCTCACTTGCATACAGATGCCCCTCTGCCAGCCCTGGGGTGAGTAAATAAAAACCAAAATGGGGTTTAATGAAGACCGGGAGCAGCAGGTACACCACCCAACAGGGGAGAGGATGGGTGTAGTCAGATGACATTGGAGGCAGATGTTCAGACCTGGGTACAGATGGCCCCCACCTGCTTTGAAATCTGCATCCTGGCTGTGGTCCCTCACTGTCTGCCTGAGAGGCATGTGAGAGGGTACAGCCAGCAAGGAGAGCTTGGCCTGGTGAGAAAACTTCACTTTGAGGGAGCTGGCACCTCCATGACAGCAATCCACCCCATCTCTCAGTCCCAGGCCCTGATGTGACTTCCCAAACACCTAAAGAGGTTGCCCAGGTGCCTTGTGGATGCCTGTCAGTGATGGAACATGCATGAGATACTGAGCTCCAGGGCTGGAGCCCAGGGAATAACAGGAAAGGAGGACATGGGCAGAATCAGGAAGCCTCAGGCATGGGACCCAGGAATGCTGTGTGGAAGGAGATCTTCCAGCCCACCTGTCTACCTATGGGAACAGGAAAACGGAGGCTGCCCTCCTGGTTTCGTGGCCTAACCTCAGCATGGCAGCATGGCTACCATGCCCAGGAGACTCCACCTGTCCTTTGTCAGGTGCCTGAGAGAGACCTGGCTGGAGAGGATCCACACCCTGCCCCACCGTGCCAGCTTCTGCTCAACAGCCAGCATCACTCTGCTGCCTACAGCTCAAAGCCAGGCGGCCCAGAGTTTCCTGCTCCCAGAGAGGCTGTCTAATACCCCCGGGCAGCAAAGTTGAAAGGGGGTGAAACAGTACATCTGGGTTGAGCACAAGGCACAGCAGAACTGGGAGGAGACCATGTCTCCTTCAGGAACAGGCAGAAGGGTAACTTACTCATCACTGGAGGTGGGGGGTGGTCCCTGGTTCTCCTCTCAGATGGAGATGGTTAAGATGATGATGGTGATGATGATGATGGTGATGATGATGATATGGTGATGGTGGTGGTGGTGATGATGGTGATGATGATGATGGTGATGGTGGTGGTGGTGATGATGATGATGATGATGATGATGATGATGATGATGGTGATGGTGGTGATGATGGTGATGATGGTGGTGATGATGATGATGATGATGATGATGAGGAGGAGGAGGAGGAGGAGGAGGAGGAGGAGGAGGAGGAAATCATAGAGGAAGAAGAAAAGATGGAAGAGGAGGATACACATCAACATAGCTTCTCTGGGGTACCTGCCCAGCACTCAGTGCTAAACTGAGCATTTGACCGAATTGCACACATTATCTCACTTAATCCTTAGAATGGTCCATGAGGTGAGTATTACCTCACGAATAAGGAAATGGAGAGTCAAGGAGGTTAATAACTTGCCTGCTGCCACAGCACTAGCAGGTGGTAGAGGCAGAAGTCACAAACCCCATGGGATTAACTTGCCTCAAAGTCAGAAAAGACAGAGCAGAGCAGTCAAGCCAAGAAGGAGTGGGGAAGCCTCAGAGACTGGCTGGTCCCTTTTCATATTGGGATTGAAGTTTGGGGAGTGCAAGCATGGAGTTGCTGAGGTCACATGACAATTCGACCAGACCACAGCTATCAGCCAGAACTTAAACCAGAACCCATGGCATCCAGATGACACCAATACAACAAAGCCTCAGAGATCCACAGCACAAGACCTAGAGGGAGGCTGCAAGAGTGACATGTTTTCCAGCGCCGGGTTGCCACATCTCAGGGAATTGGAGAATCCCTCAGAGAAGCCAAAGGCAGAAGGCTGGAATGTGGGGAGCAGAAAACCGAGTGGGGAGGGCAAACTCCATTCAAGCCCCCAGAAGAACAGAGAAATGGAAGGAGCCCATCCCTCTATAGGCACTGGGTCCTTGGGGCCATTTAATATCACTTCCCCAGATCCCGCTTCAAAACACAACATTGAGACTGGGGATGTAACCCCATCATTCGACAGTTCACCTACTATGCTCAAAACCCTGAGTTGAATCCCCAGCACTGCATAAACTGGGCATGGGAGCACATACCTGTAATCCCAGCACTCAGGATGTGGAGACAGGGAAATCAAAAGTCTAAGGTCATTCTCGGCTGCATAGTGAATTCAAGACCAGCTTGAGATACATAAGCCTGTCTCGACAAATCAGAACAGAGCAGAACAGAATAAAACCTCCTCTCCGACTCACTTGCTGAGTTAACGTATGTGAGATACCCATCACAGTGCCTGCAGACGGTAGATACTCTGAAGATGGGCCTTCATTTCCTTCTTGTGCTGGTGTGTTTCCAATGAATAATACATCCTCTGGAGGAAGGGTTGTCTTTGGCCTACAGTTTATTGAGCACCTATTAAAGGCAGAATATTGCACCATGAAACCCTTTCACACAGCTACCCTGAGCCCTTGATTTTCTGCAGGACTCCACCACCTTACTCTGCTCCTGTGGCCTGTTCCATCCTTCCATGGGCTCCAGTCAGCTTTGAAACTCTTGTGGTCCACCTCCAAAGGTATTTCCAGCCTCAGCCATTTCACCTGTGAAACATGGAGTGTCTTACCAGGGTCCCATAGGCTATGAGGCCAATCCATCTCAGGTCAGACATACACAACGTATACTGTGTGGCTGTAAGAAGAGCATACCAGTGACTCAAGGACCATCACAAGGTGGGAGATCCACCCCCATGACCCTTAGTTTAACCCAAGAGCTCCCCTTCACCAACATCCCAGGGGTTTCTCCTGTTCAAGAGTCCCACTCCACTGGGAGGATGGTGACATGTCAATAGGCTGTCTTCCTGCCTGCTTTTCTCACCCGCCCCAGGCAGAATTGTGTTGTGGGTGTGGCTCCGCATCTGTCCATCCTTGGAGCCTTCCTCTTAGCATTAAGAAAGAACACAGGACAGTTTTACTTCAGCCCCTGACTCTTCCCCTTGCCAGCTGTGTGACTGGGAGCCAGTCACTTAACCTCTCTGAGTTTCAGTTCCCATAAAGTAAGACGACAGCAATCGCTACAGGCCTCCTGGGGTTAGTGAAAGGATTAAATGAGATAATGCCACTAGAACGGCCTGCGTACTGCCTGGCTCACAGGAGGAGCTCGATAAATGGAAGCTGTGATTATTACACTCAAGTCCCCACCTCCAGATCAATCGCTCCATCTCTCTGCACTCCCTGTGTGAGATCAGCTCCGGGCCCTGTGGGAAACAGAGCTGAGGAAAGTCCTTTCCCTGGCTAGGCTCCACCTCGGGTCATCTCAGAGGGTCAGGCCAGCCACACATGGCTGGGGACAGCTGCTGGTTCCATTAGCAGCCAGAGAAAGGAGCAAAACCATGCATTCCCCTAAGGGCCAGACTATTTTCCACTTGGTCCTCAGATAATGGAGGCACAGTAAATCCCCCAAAGATGGGCAGCACAGAGGAGGCCATGCTGAGGGGACCAGGGATGCCTCAAACAACACCTCAGAGACTCCCAGCCTCACTCTGATTGCTTGGATGCTTGGTCAATTTCCCCGTCCTGTTCCCAGGGAGAGATGACGCTATGGGTGGTATGTGACCACTCCACCAGTGTTGCTACAGCTCTGCTTCAGCTCACAGTGCAGGAAGGAAGGGGTTCCTGGAGCATCTAAGCCCAGATTCCTTTCTTCTTGGCTGTTCTCCAGAGAGCTGAAGGCTTCACAGAAGCATGACCACTCCTTAGGCTTGGCTGTGGCTGCGACAAGGTACAGATGGCCACAGAGCAGGGTAGAGGGATGCCAGGGTCTGGGCAGGTAGGTATAGGATGGGGTGGCAGCACAGAGTTGGGAAATGGAATGGGGGACAGGACCCCCCCCCTCTTCCTGAAAGAGCCTTTATCCCAAAGGAAGTAGCTTCCAAGCAGAGGTTCCTGCAGGCCTTTCATCACAGAAGTGCCGAGTGGTGGTTAGTGGCCAGAGACTGACCAGCAGTCAGCTGAGCTCTCTCCCATGCCCCTCCCCAGAGACATACAGACTCAGTGTTGTTCTCGGCGTGGCTGAGGCTGCAGAACAAGGCACAGGCTGCAGGAGAGCCAGAGGCAGAACAGACACCGAGCTAAGGCACCCTGCTAGCACCATGGCCCATGAAGAAGCCCCATGTGCCAACTGTGTGCCTCTTGCAGCTCCACCCCAGAAGAAAGGTTTGGGTTCTACTCAAAAAGCTAGGCCAGGTAAGAAGTGCTAACTGCAGAGTTCTGGAAGGGTCTCTAGGGAGCTGAAGAAACAGGAATATTGTCTAGAGGGCTGACAGGATACTCACAGATCCAAGGCAACGAGCAGGAGTCCGGAGTGGGGGGAACAGGAATGGACAGCAATGGGCAGCCTGGGGCAGCAGATCATCAGTTCCTTCCAGCAAGGATTTGGTGGTCCCCACTCCTGTGCTTGCTCACAAAACAGTCACTGGACAAATAAATGAGTGAATGAGTAAATGAATGAATGGGCAAGCCAATCTTAAAGGTTAGAAGCTACACACGGAGGGGACAGGGTGACTTCTTTTTCAGAATCCTAAGAGTACTTTCCATCGGATCTTTGTGTCCAAGCATTGCCCGGTATACCTTTGTACCAGGACAGTGTGGTTCTATCCAGGTCTTCACTGTCTAGATGCAGCATGATGCTGTCATCGAGAGAGCACTGTTCTGGGAGTCACCAGACCTTTGCCTCCTAACTCTGCTACTTGTTGCCATAAGGCCATGGACCAGTCTTCCCTAGGTTCCAGGATACTTTGTTTGTAGGTGGTGGGGTCAGACAAGGCCCTTGATACCCCCATAGAGGGTGACTATCCTGTGTTTCTAGAACACGCAGGCAGGTGCTGAGCTGTCCATCTGAGCACATCTGTGCTCCCCTCCTCCCCCATACAGCCACCAGCTGAGGCAGAGTCTGTGATTTAAATGCTCCTACGCCTCCATCAGGGTCCCTCACCCTGGACCCCAGAGTCGCATATAAGTTCATAGGTTCCAACACTGGAATGGCTAGCAGGCGATGGGGCCAGTCCACAGCCATCATCAGAAAACTCAGTTCGGAACCGTAAGTACTTATTAATCAAGTATCTATTGTGTACAGACCACTGTACCCGACACAGTGAGGGCCAGGAAGGGGTCTGCCAGGAAAGCATTCAACCCCCCTTCCCCTTCGGCTGTGCACAGCTCCCCTCCCCCCCCCCCGACTAGAATACACCTCCACCCCCACACTCTGGGCCTGAGAAGAATGGCCACTGCCCCAGTAGCTGGGAGCTCTCCAAAACAGAAGGGGCTGGGCACACTGTCTGGGCACGAGTAGGCTACTGCCACCAGCTGGGCTGCGCTCTGCCAGGCAGATAGGCTGGAAGGGAAGACCACAGCTTTTCAACAAGTATCAGGGCTGAGCTATTAGAGGCTCCCTCCTGGGCTCCTTCTTGCTGGGCATTGCCTGGGCGCCCCACAGCCACTAGCATCCCTCCTCTTCTAATTATGCTGCTCCGTGCATTCATTCCCCTTAGTCTGAAACTGGTTTGCCACCGTGACTGCGGACTACGCTGGCCTCTCCAGTTAGGTGGGACCAATGACAACAGAGCTGAGGGGGTGTCAAAAATGTCCATTTCCAAATGGAGGAGTCCCTCCCCTCCCCCAGGATGCACTCTCCCTGCAATGCCAAATGCACTTTGCAAGCAACGGGAAGAGGGAGCGAGGGCTGGCTTCTGCTTGGAGATGAAGCCCTCCTTCCTCTGTCTCCAAACTCCATTAAGCATTCTGGAAGAGATGGAAATGATGATTATGGAGAGAGGAGAGAGAGAGAGAGAGAGAGAGAGAGAGAGAGAGAGAGAGAGAGAGAGAGAGAAAAGCGGAGAGATTGTGGGAAGGAGGAGCTCAAGGGAAAGAAGAGGAAAGGGGAGGAGAGAGGGTGAACCAACCCCAGAGTGGACACACACACACACACACACACACACACACACACACACACACACACACACACACACACACCACAGATCCCCTTATCTGATTAAGGATCCAAGGAAAGTCAAAAGCTTCAGGAAAATTAAAATGACCTACAGGGTTACCCAGCCAAGATCGGCAGGCAGATTACAAAGCTCAAGTCCAGTGAGATTTCCTCTGCTCTGGTGAGTCCCCTGGCTCTGACCTTAAACCCAAGGGCAGAGAATCATCCAGGGTGGGGGAGCTCAGAATGGCCCAGACTAAGAGCCCTGTGGTAGGCAGCTGATATCTGTGTCTATTTCTCTGCAATGCCCAGAGGAGAGGACAGAGACAGACAGTCACTTTTGTTTACTCAAAAGCCTGAAAAAAAATCAGTGTTTTTCCTCCATAGTTCTCTGATATCTGATTCTGGGCTCTTCCCAAAATTGAGAAGCAACTTCCCCCCTGCACACTGACCCCATGAACAGCACACCCAAGAGAGCTACAGCCCATAATGACCTCCCATCAACATCTTAGACCAGCACCTTCTCCTTCTCAGCTTCAGCATTCCCTACTATAAAATGGGTGGAATGATCTAGACAGACTTGGGTATGCCAAGGTTTTAAGACAGCCTGGGAAGGAGACTGCATGAGGAGCTGGCCACAAGAAGCAGCTGCATCCAGCGGATGACTCTGTCCCAGTGGGACAGAAAGAACAGGGTTAAAATGAATCACTCTGTGAGCCAGCCCAGGACTGGACTGACAAGGAGAAGAAAGTTTAAAAGCTAGACACCCACCTAAGATGGGAGTTCCCCTCCAGCATGCCCTGCTGAACCATTTACTAAGCGCACATATTTGCAAACATCCCAGAATATACATGTTAGGAAGCTAATAAGTTGCCTGACATTGAAAAGATGCTACACACACATTGTCAGATAGCTTAATAAACACCCACAACTTTTTCCCCCTTGATTGGAATATTTTGCTTTTTTTTTTCTCTTTTGTTTTGGGAAGAGTTCATTTTGTATCGTGTTGCAACCAGGCAGTGGTATTAACTTAGCAACTCAGCCAGGCCTCGAACAGCACTGCAGATTGTCTGAACACTCTGGCTTTGTGGGAGCTGATTAACCCTGAGCAAGACCACTCTGGGCCCCCGGGAACCACTGACTGCAGCTGCATTTCTGTATTCTTCGAGAACCACTAAGAGTTTGGGTGCTAGGCATGAATCACTCTGTTTTGACTTCTGGCAAGTTTGTCCCTGGAACTGTCATAGCCTAGCCCTGGGGGGGGGGGGGGGTTTGAGTATCAGATTGTTCCGATGCATCATGCTTTCTCCCATGTTAGCTGTAAGATGTTCTTGCATGCTTCTCAGCCTTCTACACCTGGTCTGTGAAAAGAAGGTGCTGCTGATGGCATGGTGAAGGTTATGAGAGGCATCCCCCAGGGTCGAGGTCTGGGAAGGCATACACACTTCTTCATGCACTAAGTATGCATCCCCCACACAGAGACTAGGTAGGTTCTTCGGACCTGCCAAGAACTGTGCCAGGCATTGGGATCAGCTTTTTTCTAGTGTCTTGCTCCTGAGCAACATGGCAAAGGAAAAAAAAAAAACTACAAGAACAAAATGTCTCAGGGGCCTTTGTTTAGATAGCTTCTTTGCATGGACTTCTTTCTCTTTCTACCTATAAGCTCTCCTTGGAGGACCAGCTCTTTTAACAGGCTTCTGCCAGACATCCAGGTGGAATTCTTTGCCCCACTCTCACAGGTCCTTCACATTCCATTCTTGTCTGCATCTGTTTCTGGAGCTCGTTTGTGCCAGGCATCCTGCTGCGACACATTTTAGTCACTCCAGTCCTAAGAACATTCCCAGGGGTAGACAATCCTCTCTCCATTTTGTGACTGACATGCGAGGCTTAGCCAGTGAGAAAAGTAATTGGCCTAAGATATTAGAGCTCACTCCCCTGCAGATAACACTGTAAGCAGGTCTTCAGTGGGTACAACCTTGCCAGGTGATGGCTTTCCCTGCCACGGATGGTGCTGTAGCCACAGCTTTTGTTCTTGACTCTCTCCAGGGGTCCCTTGTCTTGTGCACCCTTGGCCACAATACACAGTGTCCCTCCTTATCCATAGTTTTGCCTTCAGAAGTTTCATTACCATTGAGTAGCTAGAGCCTGAGAATATTAAGTGGGGAATTCCATAAAACAGCTGGATAAACCCATCTGGCATGCAGCAGCCATGAGTGGGCTGAGAGCCGATAGGTCAGGGACAGATGGATTCTGGGTGCGCCAATTCTTGCATAGGGGACTTCAGGACCGTGGACAGCGCCAGTGACTCAATCTCTTATGCATGGAAGAGAAGAGCAATCATTTCAAAGGACTGGGCATGGTGAGGGGGCAGGGGCAGGTGAGCAAGGGCCCTGAGAAAGGCAATGTGGCTCAAAAGTCAAGTGCTGCAGAGGAGGCCTGGCCACTCCTCCCTCTTTCCCCTTCAATTAATCTCTGCTGGTAGCAAGGCAATATTTTTAAATCTAAATCAGATCAATCATTTCTATGCTTCACCTTTCCCTTCATGATCAGAACAACCCAACTTCTTTACTCCGGCCTCCAAGGCAACACGACCAGGCCCTTGTTAATTCTGGTCTCATCTACTCCTGACTCCCTCCCTTCCCAGAAACACTGGCCTCCCTGATACTCCTTGAAGATGCCCAGTGCACTATTACCTTGGGACCTTAACACCTGCTACTCTCATGCCTAAAACCCTCCCTCCCAATATGCATGCCTCCCTCCTTTCACTCTAAACTTAAAGCTTACTTTCTCATGGATGGTCAAAATAGTATGCCTCTCCCACAACAACCACACACACCCCCCCCCAGCTGTCTCTTTTCCATTACACTGTTCATGTGCTTGTTCATTGCTTGCCGCTCATTGGGATGCAGGCTCCGTGAAAGAAGGGTATCTTAGTTAGGGTTTCCATTTCTGTGATGAGACACCATGACCAAAGGCAAGTAGGGGAGTAGAGGGTTTATTTGGCTTGCTTGCACTTCCACATTATTGAAGGAAGTCGGGGCAGGAACTCAAGCAGAACAAGAACCTGGAGGCAGGAGCTGATGCAGAGGCCATAGAAGGGTGCTTCTTACTGGCTTGCTCTCCATGGCTTGCTCTTCGTGCTTTCTTATAGAACCCAGAATCACCAACCCAGGGATGGCACAATGGGCCATCAATCACTAATTAAGAAAATGCTGTACAGCCAGATCTTATTGGAACATTTTCCCAATAGAGGTTCCCTCCTCTGAGATGACTGTAGCTTGTGTCAAGTTGACATAAAACTAGCCAGCACCAAGGGAGTGTTAAGATTTTGTTTAATGTTTCCTCTCTACTGACTAGTACACTCTGGCATGCCCTGCACATGATAAGGATTACTCAGTTACACTTGCTGAATGAAGGAATGGAGCTCAAGGGGTGAACCACCTCATTCTTGAATAAACCAGTAGCCAGGAGGTCATTCTAGTTCCAAG